GACACAAAAACAGAAATAATTGCAAGGGGAAACATTTCCATTCTGTATTTATTGTTGTGATCAGCCCTAGTTGACCTTTAACTAAAGATATAGCCTTTAAAATGTTTTCAGATATACATCCATAAGAGATCAGTTTAATGGAAATATTATTAGGTTGTTTCAATGTTATATAATCATGATTTTTTAATGAACTTTTTCTTGCTTGGTAATGCTGCTCATTGATTGTGGCTTGCTAATCATCTTTCTGCAAGTTTCTGAGACAGGGTCTGTCTGTATGAAAACAATAAACTTCCTAAAGTATACTGGTTGAATTGCAGCCAAGTCCTGCTGATGAGGCCAAAATTTGACCAGTGGCTCCATCGGTCCCCCTCCCCTCCCCCATTTGACAAAAGTTGCTTTTTCAATCCACTTTTGTCAAAAGGAGCTGGCCTAAAAATTCTTGACTGAATAATGACTGCAGCCAAATTACTATTCAGGCATTCTGATAGCAGCTCACCCACAGCTCTCAGAATAAAGTAGACCAGTGGGGGGATTTCCCCAATCTTGCGGTTAGTGTGCGGAATCAAACGTTTTTTCACGTTCACACTCCTGGGGGATCAATCGATCTTTTGCGTTGGCTTTAGGTCACAGGAGGGAGCTCTAGAGCATTGGTTTCTGCTCATGGCAAATAAATGCATTAAAAGATTTGATAAAATGTCAATGAAGATTCTCAACTGTTTCTATACTAATGGTGCTAAAGCTGACCCTACACTTTTAGACCTTCCTGTGAACGAACAAGATTCTAACTGTGCTGAAAAATCGAAGGATCCAGTTGGAAAACTGACGGCTGAACAGTGATTGTAGCCAATCAACTGTAGTCATTGGTCAGGTATTTTGTTCTGACAATCATGGGGATACAATTACTAGCAAAGAAGATTCCATCATCCGTGATGTTTAGTGTGGATTGGGGAATTGAGCGGTTTTTTTATATGCGTATGGTCAGGCTATTCCAGTTAACCCATTCCTGAATTTGGAGGGTTTGCCTGGTATAGTTACATGATTAGAGAACCACTGCATCCCCACCACCCTTCTAGATATGTGGTCTATTTTTGCAAAGGCTGAAATACTGACTTCAGTTTGGCTAAGGACAGAGCTAGGGAAGCTAAATTTGATTTGTTTCCACTTTGCCTTTAGCACTTTACAGTTGGTTTATTTATTTATTTTTGCCAGATGAAACAGAAATCATTTTGTTACTAACTTTACAAAATGGTTTGTGTATCAATTATATATGGCATGTTATTTTAAAGTGGAGTTTTGTGTAATGTGAAGCAATAACTTTGTATTAAAGAGAATATCCAAATTGGGGCAAAAATGGAGAATATATACTTGGTACCCCATTGCTCCTTCTTTTGTACTGTGTTTTCCTGTGTAATCTGGGATAACCACAAATGTATCAGTTTGCAGTTTGTGGATCAGGTCAGGTATCTGATGCAAACAGGAAGGTTGATGAGAGCCCTTGGGTTGTATGATTGTCAGATATGAGTCATAGCAGGAGATTAAAATAGGAAACAAGGCTGTCAGGCTAGATTGCACAGACTTGATCTGGCTTGTCTCCATCTAGAACTGGTTACAACTGTTACTTTCATCTTGTTTGTTTGTAGAGGAATATATATATATTCTGATGGGTTGCATTGGTAAATTTTAGTTTTAGCTATTAGCCTTATTGAATATGCTTGAAAGTGTGTCTGTTGACCGATCTCTGGATCGGTGAAAGTAAGTGATAATATAATTGTGCTTCGTACAGTACTTTGCTTCATTCCACGATCTATAGCATTTCAGCTGCCAAGTTCTTGTCTCAGCATACCTCCTCTGAGCACTCTTCTGCAGCCAGGTAGAATTAGGTTTCAGCCCAATGAATGTTTATGGGGATTTCCTCCACAACCAGCTGGCTGTGTGCCAGAATCTGAACTTTGCATTCACACCAGCCCTGTTGCATTACCATCATTTTTTTAATGGATAGTAACACAAGGGTAATTAAAAAAGAATGGGTGTGATTAGGGACAATTGGCACTGTAGCATTGCGTTGCTGTATGTTGACCTGCAAAAAAAAGTAGAGCATGCTCTCTTTTTTTTTCAGCACAATGCAGCGTCTAAACCACATGCTAACGCAATGCATCGCAAGCCATTAAAGTAAAGTATGTCCACTCACGACATGTTACTTCATATAAAGCTTGCCAAAGAAAAGAAAAGCAATGGAACGCAATGGATTGGAAGGTACAATCGCAAGTCAACTGACCCTCCATTGACTTGTGAGTACCTTCTGATTTTGGTGTAAATGCACCCTAAAGGTAAAACCATCACCATACTTACAGTACCTCATGGTGATCCAGTGAACTTGAAAACTTGGGGATTTTCTAATCTCCTGCGTTTGGTAAAGATTTTCAACGTGTCAGATGTACCGCAACAATTGAAAATGGTGTTTTTCTGTCGTTTCCACTTCTTGCGATTAGTAGCTTTCAGTCATTTTTAGTCTAGTCACTAGTTCTAGTAAATTCTTTCTGGCATGTCTGTGTGTGATAAATAAGCCCACTCTTGCTTGATTTATTCACTAGTTCCTGCGATGAACATCTCCAAGTTCACTTGTAGAGTAGTTCTGAAGGTTGTTATCGAAAATTTCTCAAAATAAGAATAGTAAACATTTATTAAATCCTGAAACCCCACCAAAGCTATTCATAGAATCTTTTCTTCTCTCTCATTTGCCAGTGCATTTACCGTAAAATGAAATAAATGTATGTAAACTGTGCCCTTCTTTAGATATACCTTATAACTCTGCGCCCAAGTTTCCAGGAAAACACCAATTGCAGTATCCTTAAATCATTTTAGATTAGAGGAATGGGTGTTCCCTGGGGAAGTAAGAAGTAGAGTAAGGACAGTGAACATTAACATAATGGTTGTGGCCTTTGAAAATACCTGTATTGTCAATCAGATTATTAAATGTGCACTGAAAAGTGAGAGTTAAATGACTCTTTTGCATAGGCACAGAGATCTGTATAGTGTAAAAAAAATGGTTGGATCTCTGCACCTGGGAGGCACAGGTTTTCAATGACAATCTGTGGCTATACACTGGTAAACACTGCTCTGATTTTATACTTGAATACGGGTAGGAATGTACACCCACAGATGCAGTCTGTGTCTAGGGATGTACATCCGTTGATAAATAAGGATTATTGCTACTAAACTATTATTTGTAAATCAATAGCTGTTGTAATTTTGGCTTGTTTTTTCATCTGGTTGGGCTTTCTGTTAAAGCTGAGCTCACGAGAAGCAGCTAAGTAGACATTTGAAATAATAAGTGAACAGTCTTTCTGCCAAAAGATTTATCACTGTTTTCAGCCAGTCTGTTAATCCACTAACACTTGGCAAAAAAGCAGAGATGAATCCCTGACCTCCAATGCAGTTAAAGCTAAACTCTGGGCCAAAAAAATCTTTAATTTAGGAATATGTATCAGTGGCCGCAAAGGACAGAAGTGTACTCTGTGTGCACCGAAGGGTGGATACAACATCAGTCACGCTGCACAAGGAGAGAGAGGACCAAGGACTGGTCCTAATACTGGAAGCTCCTGAACAGCAGCAAAGTTTGACACTGGATTTAAAATTAAGTAATACATTACAGTAACCTTGCAGCTTGCCGTAACCCCTCCCAGCTTTCTCTGTCCAGAACGGACGACAGGCTTACGCTTACAGGCACTGAAGAAAAGGAAAGATGTGTCCCGAACTGTACATCACTCAGTTCGCATGACACGGACCTCCTCGCTATCCTCCATTTCGAAAATGTCTAAAGGAGGATAGGAGGGGGTGTGATGTAATTACAGAATATCTTGTATTCTTTTAAAAAATACTAGACATTTTTTGAATGTAGGATAGTGAGGAGGGGGAAGATGATGCGATTGGATCATTGTACAGCTTGGGTTGCCAATTTGTGGAGACAAATTGAGCTTGCTTTAAATGATGATCCTGCAGGCCAATCATGACCTCCCTGTAGGCTTGTGTAAACTCTCCCTTCCCCTGTCACAGTGGATACTGAGGGGGCATCTTAGATGTGGAGGGCGGGGTTCAACAGATCTCTCATCCTAGATTATGTTCAGGATGCTGCAGATGTCACCGGAAGCATTTTTGCAAGGCTTCAGGGAAGCCACACATGGCCTACAGGATTGGCATATAAAGCAATTCTAATTTGTCTCCCCTGCAGAATGTTTTTTAATATACTGGGCTCTTTTTATTGTATGGTACATTTTATTACAAACTTGCTGTTAAAAAAATGAAGGCACAGCAGCAGGTTGACGGAAAGGATGAGGGTAGGTTTGTTAATTACAGGTGCAGATAGCAAAGAGAAAAAGTGGCCATGGCAAGACTTTTGGTACCTACAAAAATTAATGATTATGTCAGTGTGATCCGACAGTTGTGCATGCTTGCTTTGGGTGAACATGCATGCTTGTTTCTATAGAGACGGAAAGGGGAATGCTCTGTTGACATCACCCCCACTGGCAATAGTGATGGACTCCTTCAAGAAGGCTTGACCAGGAGGTGTTGGGGAAGGCCTACACATGTACCATAAAGGACCAGATTGAGTAAATGTTCTCTTATATCTATAGGTACCTTTACACCTGTTTGAAGAGCCAATGTAGTTGGAAACTGGAGAACATGGTTCATCTTTGTTTATGTCAAGTAATTCAAAAGCTGCAAAGTCATGATGTGATACCATTTGAAAGGGGTTGATCACAAGCCATTCCTTAATCCTGTTTTGTTAAAACACCTCCAGAGATAGTAGATACAACTAATTTTGCCTCCCTATGTGGCCTACAGCACTCTAAAATGCTTCCATTAGAATGGGTTTATTGCTGTGCTGATTGATTATGCTCTGCATTTAATATGTGTTTAGTGCAATTAGAAATTGAAAGATACTTAACCTTAAGTGCTGAAATTTCCATTAACTGCTCTCTCTGTCTTTCTTTAATGTTCAGGTATTATGCGGACAGCGGATACTCTTGACCGTGAAACGACTTCTCATTACTGGCTGACTGTTTATGCTACAGATCGAGGTGTTGTACCACTTTCATCTTTCATTGAAATATATATTGAAATTGAAGATGTTAATGATAATGCAGCACAGACTTCGGAACCTGTTTATTACCCAGAGGTCATGGAGAACTCTCCCAAGGATTTATCAGTTGTGCAAATTAAGGCATTTGATCCAGATTCCAGCTCCGGTGACAAGCTGGCTTATAAGATTGCAAGTGGGAACCCTCAAGGATTCTTTGCTATCAATCCAAAGACAGGTAAGTGCAATTTCACTTTGTCATTCTGGTATAGTGATGAAAGAAGGGAAATTGCCCCAGAGTGGAAATCGTATTATTTCAAATTTTTATATACTTTAAGATATTGTATAAAGGGCATGCCTTCTATTTAACAAATGTAGCATACAGTAATATGTTTGCCATTTAAATTCTTCTTGCCTGTGTTCAGAGGACAGTCTGTTCAGATCAGGTTGCTTTCTGCCTTCATTTTAAATTTTCAGCACCAAAAGGTCACTGATCAACATGCCCTTAGCTCCTAGTGTGTTTATCGTGGTGATTTACACTGCGATTTTCATAATAAAGCAAAGCTGGGACAATTAATATACCAATTGCTGTGCACACAGGACTCAGGTCTATTACAGTGCCATGAACGTCCCTATCTTGGATAACTCTGGCAGGACCCAGAAGTGGGTGATGGATATCGGTCGTGCTATATCTTATGCCTGCAAATCTATTCTCCTAATTGAACCACCTCCCAAAATATTTTCCAACAAGCCGGAAAATGGCTGCATGTGATAGCGAGTGCTTTTGGATTAATTTGGTATTGGCGCCACCAGGATCAGGCTATTATGACTACCATTACAAAGATCATACTGATGAAGGGTTGAAGAGATTATGGTTAAAATGCTGCACATTTTGTATTTGATTAAGAATATTCATGACTGAAATTAATTAATATATTGAAGGGTGATATTCATCTTCTTTAAGGCCCCCTTCACACTTGCACCATGCGTTGCATTGCTCCATGAAAAAGCAGTATTTCATATGTTAATGTCTTGCGTTAAAGGAGAACTATGAGGTGAGTGATTTTCACTCGACCTCATAGTTCGAGCCGACGTGTGACAATAGATCAATAGATCAATAGATCAGGAAGTGAGCGAACACATACTGTCGCTCGCTCACTTCTCGATCATGTCCCTGCACAGAGCCGTGACTGTCACTCACAGCTCCCTGCAGGGATTCCCCCTCCCCTGTCCGATTCTCCAGCGCTGACTGGCGGAACGGACGGGGGAGGGGGCGGGTACAGCTGGCTCTGTCTCTCGATAGGCAGAGCCAGCTGTCACTCACACAGCTGTGTGGATCTCGAAAGTATTGTCGGGATCCGTCCCGGCTGCGGCGGTCTCAGTATACCACGAGCTGCAACTCGCGATATACTGAGCTTTGGGTCACGGGAGGACGCTAGTTTGTGTCCTCCCGTGACCCTTAGAAGGACAATGGGGAAAAACACTTACACCATAGTTCTCTTTTAAAGGAGAACTATGGGGTAAGTGTTCTTCCCCATAGTTCTCCTAAGGGTCATGGGAGTACCACCAGTCAGCGCTGGAGGATCAGAGCGAGGTGGGGGGGAAATCCCTGCAGGGAGCCGTGAGTGACAATCACGGCTCTCTGCAGGGACATGATCGAGAAGCGAGCGAGCGTCGCTATGTGTTCGCTCACTTCCCGATCTACTGAGCCGACGTGTAACAGTTTCATTGTCACACGTCGGCTCGAACTATGAGGTTGAGTGAGAATCACTCACCTCATAGTTCTCCTTTTAGAGCTGCCCAGTACATTTTGAATGGCCTGCCAATGCACCACAATGCACCTAAAACAGAACATGCACCATTTTTTTCAATGCACTGCAACACAAAACACAGATGGTTCCCATCTGCATTGAAGTGTGCTAGCAAGGTGCATTGGAAATGGCACCAGAACACACCAGGCATTACAACAACGCATAGGTGAGAAGCCACACTTAAAACCAACAGTCACTTGGCTTCTAAGAGCAGTAGGAGATATGACCACATCTCCAAATTCCATTACTTCAAAGTCTCCTGGTAATGGCATTTTTGCACCTTTATACCATGTTATGGTGTAATAGCATAGCCACAAATACTATATTACCAGTACTGTCTCCTGTTATTAGTCACCAGGTATGCTTTGATTGTATACAGGTCTGTTAGTTTGGAGATGTTGCTTACAAGAGTGCATTGGGCAGCTGAAGTCCTACATGTCCCTGACAGGACTGCTGAAGTGTTAAATGCTTCAGAACAATTTCCAGGCAGTTTGTGAAATCCTGTTCAATGAACACGTGAATTTAAAGGTCACCTGTGTCATTTGTACTCAGTGGGAAATGTGCAAAATATCAGCTTATGTCTTTTGCCCAGAAAGCCTCTTGTAATAGCAGCGGTTGTTTTGTTTGCAGCCTGAACCACGGAGGACATATCATGTTGTTTATTTTCACTTTGAAAGACAGAAATCTGCTATACACTGCTTGCGATTAAATTTTACTTTCTATTATTTCTCGGTTTGTGTTCGCTGAACATGAGCATGATAGCTTTTATGTGTTTTAGTTATACTTTTTTTGTGTCAGATGCGATTTAAAAGTGTAATACTATCTTTAATATGTAGTTGGACACAGGAATCTCCCCCTTCCCTTTCCCAAGATAGCTGTATTGCTATCCAGAGCTCCGTTAAGATTAACTCTATACAATCAGATATAATCTCTGTATATTCTCCTTTGCCTTTAACAAAATTATGTAATATAAGGACAAACCTAAACATGGCATTCAGTTTGTTTCAAATTAGGCAGACCATAGGACTACATAGTTGATGGTGGATTACTGTCACAGATGAAATGCACTGTGATAGATGTGTGTCCTTCCCCCAGCCATATGCCTCCCCAGGTGATGCTATCTATGCAGAAACTACTTTGCTCATTAATGGACACTGGAACTCTATCCACTCTTGCAAGTTTATATCTTCAAAAGGGAACTGATTAAGACTTCCTTCAGTCCCTCTGTGCAAAGTATACAATTGACCTCTTGGGTAATGTACTCTTTTCACGGTGTGATCACGTGATATATGTGCATTCAGCATTGCTTCTCCAACTTTGATTATAGGGCATATCTCCAAAAACTTTACTCCATTTCCAAACTGTGTTGATTTCTTATAAACACTTTTAAGCTACTCAGCCTTGAACTTGATGATGATGATGATATTGTTTATAAGGGATACCTCTATTAATATTGATGAGCAATTTAACTTTGAATTGTATTTATATTCTGCAAATAATGAGAAGCAATTCAGCTTTAAACTCTGATGTTCCTATTAAGAAGTGATAAGCCTTAAACTCTATTTATATTCTGCAAGTATTGACAAGTTATTCAGTTTTGAACTGTTATGGTATTGAGCAGAAGTGGTCATTTAAATTACTCACACAAGTAAGAAGTGCTGGTTTCTCAGAACTATTGACAGGGAGTATACTCATCATTCTGAACAGCCATTAGAGTCAATAATGATTCATTGATGGATTTTTTTGAGATACACTAGAGTGATGATCTTTAAATGGTCTGTGACTTTTGCTGGTTCATTATTGCAAGTATGTTTGCCTCAGTCTCTTTGTATCACCAGTTGCTCTACTACCCTCCTTCATAGAGGACCTCAGTTTGAGTTGATATTTCCTTTTTGTTTTGTTGAGTTTATGAACTGAACTATTACTGCTGTCATTGTTCAGTATATCTGTTATCCCATCATTTATATGTTGTTATGTATATTTAACCTGGTATCTCAATAGGCCTGTAGTGACTGAACTTGACCCTCTAAACAATGTACACAGACTATAGATACTGGCTGGATTTATCTGATGAGGCTTCTCCAGTTTTTTCTTGTATTCTGGATTATCATTGTTCATCATACCTGTCATGTGATTCTATTCTTTCTGCATGGGCATTGAATTTGGTTCATAAACTCCAGTGAGCTATTGACTTTGATCATAGTGTGAATACATCCTATGTTACTAATATTACTCGCACAATAGGGCCAAAGTTGACTTGACTTGATTTTTCTTCTTGGAAGTACTTAGAAGAATAATAAAATGCCAGCTAACAAATTTTATCTATGTCACTTAAAGCATTACCTGTCTGTAGATTTTTTTGGGGCACCTAATAAGGGATGTATAGTCATATGTGACTGGATGGACCTTTGAAATGTATTTAACATGGTGACCATCTAGCTAAATATCTAAATATTTTCTTGTAAATAGGGATTTTTGTATTTTTCGTAGTTTATTTGTTGTATGTGTAAACTTGTTATTCAGAAATACCAAATGCTTTCACATAATCTTTGCTCACACAGGGCTTGGGGAACAAAGTGCCTGGGAGCTAAGTGGCGTTAAAAAATTGGCGTTTAAACAATTGAAGTTTAACCAGGGCGGTTGTAACTTCTTCCAGGGCGGTGGTATAAATTAAATTTAGTTTAACAAACAAGTTATTGACCGTACCACTTGTGAACCATAATTTAACCCAGGTCGGTAGTATAATTCAGTATAATTTATTCATCTTAATATAATTTAAATTAACAAACAAGTTATTGAACAGGCCACTCGTGATCTACTAAACCCTAGAAAATAAAACTACAGTTAGATAATTAATCTTATATAATCCCTAATATACATTAAAAATAAAAATAAATAAATAAATAGTAAGGGTGGAATAAAATAATGTCTTCCATGAGTGGGTATGCAACCAGGTGCATGTCATGTGCAATGTATGCGTTCCTTGAACATGCGTTCGAGGGGGAATACAATTGTGCTAGATGTGAGCGAGTTGTCTGTTTGGAATCCCAGATTCTGGATCTAAGCAACAAACTGGCAACACTGAGGAGCATAAACAACATGGAAAAGAGTCTGGACTTAACGCACCAGGCTGTCGTGGAGGGGGGTCAGGCTGAGGAGGGGGGGTTGGAGCAGCGGGATCCAGAGGTGGGTAGATGGGTTACTGTTAGAAGGCGGGGGAGGGGGAAGAGTGCTAGAGAGGTCAGCCCTGATCTGATTCACCCCAATAAATTTGCCAAGTTGCAGGATATTGGGGACATCAGTTCAGGGGGGACACTGCTGGAGCACGACTCATCCTATATCCGCAGGGGGAGTGAGTGCTCCGGCGAGGACGGGAGCAGGATGGAGGGTCAGGAGAGGCAGATCCTGGTGGTGGGAGACTCCATCA